AAAAAAAAAAAAAAAAAGAAAATATAAATCGACTTACAAATAAAAAGGGAAGGGTGTTTAAAAAGCAGGTAAGGTCTTCTGTGCGCAGTCTTCAGTCCCCGATTTGACCACTCTGGACGAGAGTGGACTGTTGGACCTGGTGACGAACTATCCCGTATCCCTCTCTGGCTTTGTCTCTACTTGTTAACTCAAGGTACCGTCTTCCTGTCAGAGTTCTGGCAGCATCCCCTCCCTCTTTACTTCATGCCTGTCCTCTGCCTGGACCAACTGCAGTGAGTGGTTCGGTGATGTGATGTAGCCAATAAGGCGGCCAGCTATCATAAAAGTTCCACAATGCGTTAAGGCCATGTTCATTGTTAAATTATGCCTTGCCTTTGTCTTCTGTGCTTATGGTGGAGGAGGAAACGTCAGTATTTAGCCAACAAGTTAAATTTGGATAATAAAGTCAGAATTTACAGCCACATTTTAGTTATAAATCAAGATCAGGAATAATGATATAATATGTGTAATTCTGGGTAACATGTCATTTGTATTTGGGTGGTATAAAAATGCTTAAAACCAATTAGATTTGTATTTTCCTGTCTTGTTTTGTGTCTCCTTTGTTTAAGTGATTTTTATCCTCAAAGGGTGCTTCTTGGGAAAGCATTAAGGATAAATTTTGGTCTCTCAATCAGAAAACCATTGCTTTTTTTTTTTGTTATCATAGCTATGAAATACTGATTCTTTCCCATTTTCTCTCACATTCTTTCTCTGAAAGTGGCACCAAGGGATGGGTGATAGGAAAACCAAGTGTGTCCTTTTTGTCTGTAACCTTTTCAGAGTAGAAATGTCTCTTAAACATCCATAGTTCCATGGCAACTAGCTGTTTAGCAGCAGAGACCCATCATGGTAATAAGTGCATCTTTATTACTTTATAATGTGTCAGTAAATCACTTAATATTTATTACACATCTGTTATCTGCTGAGTGCTGTGGGGAGAAAAAGAACATAAGCCTAAGATCTGGCCATTGAATTGCTTAGGATCTAGTTTGGGCAAAGTTAGTTTTATTTACCATTGTATACCCTACCCCTGGCATATATGTGGGAAGCAGTTAAGATGCTAAAACATAGTTGTGAAGTAAATAAATGAAAGACAGGGCAGAGTAAAGATGAATAAAAGAAAGATAAAGAAATATAAGATATATGCCAAGGAAATGGTATAGTTAGTGGGATTGAAAAGACTTAAAGAATACCAGGGATTCCTAATGTGCCAAAGGCTTCCCTAAGGAAGTGAAATTGCTCCACTATATCCATGTCTTGTGTTCTTCTTGTGTTTCTTCAGGACTCAGTATTCACTCAACAGAGAACTGAGTTAAACTCAGGATGGGAAGGAATCTGCTCTTATATAGCTCCCATGCTGAAACTCAGATACAGAAATTATAGATCTGTTTGTGTGTTTATATCTAAAATCGTACTGAGTGCTCTGAAGGAAAAACCAGGGATGCAGTTAGTCTCCCAGGTCAGAGGAAGCTTCCCTAAGGAAATGGCATTTTAACTGAGCTCTCAACATGACTAAGAATTAAGTAGACATGAATCTTCCAGAAGGAAGGGATGGTGAGTCTGCAGGTCCTTAAGTGGAGAAGGTGTGGAGCCACAGGGGTGGACTGGAGGTAGAGGTGGGAGAACAATTTTTAGAATTGGCCAGATGCCCTGTCCTAGGGGTCTTAAAGTCTCAATTACTCCCTCATGGTGGATCTAGGACTTATCTGTGGGAGATCTTTTAAGTCCTAACCAGTGACTAGCACTTGGTAGGTACTTAGTAACATTGAATGAGTAAGGAGGCTTTAAAGGGGCAATGACAATGTTTTCATTTTTTTCTTGTTGTTTTTAAGAGATGGGGTCTTGCTCTGTCATCCAGCTTAGAATGCATTGGTGCAGTCATAGCTCACTGAAGCCTCAAACTCCTGGGCTCAAGGGATCCTCCTGCCTCAGCCTCCAGAGCAGCTATGACTATAGGTGTGCACCAGTATGTGTGGCCAATTTTTTTTTTTTTTAAAGACAGAGTCCTGCTATGTTACCCACACTGGTCTCAAACTCCTAGCCTGAAATAAATCTCTCATCTCAGCCTCCCAAGATGCTGGGATTACAGGTGTGAGCCACCATGACTGGCTATTTACACTTTCTAAATTAAATCTTCCTCTCACTAGTACCATGGACGTACTTGCTGGTAAACACTCAGTTGTATATACATCACAGAACCGTGGAGAATAACTGACTTCAAATCAACCTCTTCATAAGGACTGTTAATACCTGTAACTAATATGCTGCATTTATAGAGGAGCAAAATAAAATATACACTGTTTGAATAAGGTCAAAATGCAAGTGAATGAACCTACTACGGAATCTCTGCTGATTCAGTTCTAAGTTTTTGCAAGCTTTTGTTTAGCTAGTTGGTCATAGCATGCCAGCAGTATATCCTAAGCATTGCCTACTCAGAGTCCTGTTCTTGCCTTTATAGTCCTAGTTATTTTGTATTTTACTTTTTGTCTTTGGTCCAGTAAGGTTAGTTTCAGCTTCTGATGTCCCTTTCCCTTCAGCTTTTGATTCCTTCACTATTTCAGGAAATATTTTGTCTTGGTTTGGTGATAATCAGAAATAGCTGAAATTAACCTGATGATGTTGTGTTGCTAGTAATGATAATTAACAAACTGGTTCCAAAAAAAAAAGTATGGATTAGAAGTCTCCAAATATTTCTCCAGAAATTCAAGGGCACTTGGATGTCAGGCTCTCCCTTACTCATTATGCTGCTTTTTTGAGCCTTTGCTTTATTCTTAAATCCCTGCAGTTTGGCTTTCTGATTCTTAGGCCAGAGGTAGAAAATATGTGGTTACTTCCCAGCTCATGGGGTTATAGTTCCTCTATGTCAGTTCCAAATTTAGGTTCTCAAGAGAAAAAAACTTTCTGGTTCAGCTTTGGTAGGGGAAAGGATGGACAGAATAATTGTGAAAATGGCCACTAGGAAATGTGGCATAGTTGGGAGAGGGCAGTTGGGGGGAAAGGAGTCTGGATCATTTTAGATCCTGGCAGAGAACAGAATCCAATGCAGATTGTTCAGGAGACTTTTATGATGTGACTCTATTTAGCAGTATGGACAGGTTTCAGAGAACCAACAAGCAATGTTGAGAAACCCATTACAGAGGTTCTACTGTGTTACCAGGTGCCAGTGATGCTTGGAACCATGGAGGCAGAGCTGCCCAGTGGATACTGTAGACTTGGATAGATTCAGGCACTGTCAATAATGTGGTCCTGGCTTAGTTGGGGCTTGGGGATACCCTCTGATCTTCTGGTATCTTCCATTGGCCAAACCCAACCTGAAGCCAGCAAAGAGAGTTATGATGATATAGTTTGGGTCAACCTAGCACACAGATTAGGGCAGGGAAGGGCAGAGAATGGGTCCATGGTGGGGGGGGGCAGGTTAAATGGAAAGGTTGATAAGGAGGCTGAGGCAGGTGGATTGCTTGGTGCTCAGAAGTTCGAGACCAGCTGGAGCAAGAGTGAAAACACATCTCTAAAAAAAGTAGCCAGGTATTGTGGTGGATGCCTGTAGTCCCAGCTCCTTGGGAGGCTGAGGCAAGAGGATCACTTGAGCCCAACAGTTTGAGGTTGCTATGAGCCATGATGCCACAACACTACCAAGAGCAACAAAGTGAAAAAAAAAAAAAAGAAAGCAATGTTGATAAATCAGTATTTTGATATTTAATTTGGTATATTAAGTCCAGCCTTTAAAGCAGCAGTTCTCAGCCTGTGGGTCACAACCCACAGGAACTGTATTAAAGGGTTGCAGCATTAGGGAGGTTGAGAACTACTGCTTTAAAGGCTGCTTTAAAGAATGTCCCATTCTTGTTAGGTACATATTATGTCATAATTTATAGTTCATTGAATATTTTTTTTCAAGACAGAGTCTTACTCTGTCACCCAGGTTAGAATGCAGTGGCATCATCCTAGTTCACTGTAACCTCAGACTTTTGGGTTGAAGCAATTCTCCTACCTCAGCCTCCCAAGTAGCTGGGACTAAAGGCATGGACCACCATGCCCAGCCAGTTTTTTCTGTTCTTAGTAGAGACAATGTCTTGCTGTTTCTCAGGTTAGTCTCAAACTCCTGAGCTCGAGTGATCCTCCCATCTCAGCCTCTCTAAATGTTAGGGTTAGAGGTTAGAGCCACCACCCCAGTCTTGCATCT